CCGGATTCACCATTGGATTGTCAATACCTCCGGGAGCCGATGGACCTAATGTCCCAAATCATATAAGGCATAGTTTTCACCTTTGGGTTCTCCCCCAATTGGCTTGGAACTAAAAAAATAAGAGGGACAAATACGCACCCAAAATTTTCCCACCACAATGCAAGCTCTCAACTCCTGCTTTCATAGCTAGGTTATGTGCAATATTTCCGCCTGCACTGTCACCACCTATATATGTAAAGTCTATCAAAATCTCCATAGCAACAGAAAAATGAAGAACGCCATTCACATGAAATTCAACTCCTCGATTACACAATGCAACTGAAAGAGAGTACAACATCTTAATTAACCACATCCAATCATACGGAAAAGTAACAATTGCGAGCACGAAACTTTGCATCACTTTATGATGAACTTGCGATAAACAATGCTCATTCGGCAAAGAAACCTTGCAAAAGACAATGCTCATTATATAATGAAACCTTGATTTGAGACAACCCCTCAGACCATTGCAATAGCACCACGAGGTAAGACTGCACCACCCTCTGATAACCTTGTAATCGTCAACATAAAAATCTTAGTATGAGTCAAAACACCAAGCTTCCTCCTCATAGTCATTTGCTAAGAGCAAAATAACCACAAAACCACCACCTCAAATTTGACAATTGTCGCAGCTTTAAGATTCAAGATTTAGTAGTTAGTCATGAATGCTACAAAATGCTCTTCTCGATCGATAGAAGGGAGAACAATTATATTATATATTAATATTAGGGCAAAAGACTGTTTACTACCCTCATGTTTCGTGATTTTCAATATTTAGTACATCAAGTTTTTTTCGTCCCAGTGTCATACCTAAAGTGTAAATTTTGGGACAGTCTCATACATCCGTTAGTCAAACTATTAAGTCTCCCGTTAACTGTGACGTGATGCCCATGTGGACAATGACTGGGCGCCACGTGTCATCCACGTGGAAATTAAAAATAAATTATTTTATAAAATAAAATAAAAAATTTATATAATTAAAAAAAAAAAAAAAAAAAAAAAAAAACCTTCATCTTCCCCAAATCCTACCTGTGCCCACCCTCGCATCACTCACCTCTTCGTCTTCCCTAAATCTCACCCTCATTCGCACTTAGCCAGCCTCAATCAAACCCCCCAAAATGTCCAATCTGCAACTAAAGACTTCATGCACCCTCCCCGCCACCCTCCCTTCCCGACCCCCTCCGTCCTTCTCCCTCCCTCATTCTCTTCCCTGCACCTACCTCCCCGTCGAAGCCCCAACAAAACAGCACCTCCGGGTCCCACTCCGCTCACTACTCCTGCCAAAAACCGACATCGACCCACGACGCTACCGCTTCTTCGCGCTAGCTCTTTCACTATGCTTTTGGAACTTCCATCGACCCATACTTCTCCATCTATTGCCAAAACCCGACCCCCTAACCTGTGGTCGTTTTTTTCCTTCCCTATAGTGCTCTACTCTGCTTTTTGGGTTTTGGATTTTCGAAACCATCAAACACCCAAAAAATGACCAAATTTTGAATCCAACACGCAGATTCAATCCCAGCTTATCCTCAAATCAAAACCCACCAAATTCTTCAAGTTTTCAACCAAACGGGTCGCACCCCTAACACAATGACGCTGCCACCTCTCCGAGCACCCCCACATCATCGGAATTTGCCGTCGCCATTTGGTTTGGAGTTCAACCGCGACGGCAAGAAATCGAAGTCGAAGTCGAATGGGTCGAAAATATTTTGGGCATTAGGGTTTTTCATGCTGGGTTTGCTCAATTTTTTTGAAAATTGAAATTTTTTGGGGATTAGGTTTTTGCAAAGGTCGAAATAGTGGGGAGAGAGAAAGGAGGGGAGGTGAAGAAGGTGGAGATGAAGTAGGTTGGGTACAGAGGGATCAGGGGAGGGAGATGTGTCGAGATAGTCGAAAATCAGTTGTGGAAAGGAGCACCGAAGATATCTTTAGTCGTGGGTTATCGTTTCGGGAGTGAGCTTGGATCTGTGGGAAGAAGGAAGAAATGGTGCGGGTTGGGGGAGACTAGTTTTGGTGGTGAAGGAAGGTTGGGGGAGAAGGTGTGGGTTACAGAGGGAAGAATGAAGGTTGGGGGAAACTGGTTTTGGTGGTTGGAGTGAGCTTGGGAGAGGTTTTGAGGGAGAGGGTGCGGGTTGCAGAGGGAAGAAGGAAGGGAGAGGGTTGGGGGAAGCTAGAAGATGGGTGGGTGATGGGAGGGTGGGCACATGTGGGATTTGGGGAAGATGAAGGTTTTTTTTTTTTTTTTTTTTTTTTTAAATTTTTTATTATATAAATTTTTTATTTTATAAAATAAAATATTTTATTTTTAATTTCCACGTGGATGACACATGGTGCCCAGTCATTGTCCACATGGGCGCCACGTCACAGTTAACGGGAGACTTAACAATTTGACTAACGAATGTATAGGACTGTCCCAAAATTTACACTTTAGGTATGACTCTAAGACGAAAAAAACTTGATGTACTAAATGTTGAAAACCACAAAACTTCAGGGTAGTAAATAGAGTTTAACCCTTAATATTAATCAAATACTTAAAAAACACAACAATATTGAGACAACCAATCAAATACTTGAAAACACAACAATATTTATTACATATAAATATTAATCTATTAAAAACTTATTTAACAAATTTGATCATACTATCTTGACATGATAGTTACTAGACAAGAAAAGAAGCCAAGCGTTTGATCATTTTCTTAACATTCTCAGTTTCACTCACACAGAAGATATGATAGCAATGGTCCTCTCCTTCCACTTCAAACAGCTCCACTTCTCCTTTCCACCCACTCTCCTTCACCAAATCGTAATACCAAACACCTCGGTCCCTCAGCGCATCTTTTCCAGCAACACACACGAGCAGCCGAGAGCACGCTAGTCCAGCCAGGCTCGGTTTACCCTCACCCGCCGGATTTAACATTGGATTGTCGACCCCACCGGGAGCTGATGGATAAACAAAGTCCCAAATCAAATAAGGGACAGCTTTCTCAAAGTCTTCACCTTTAGGCTCTGACCCAATTGGCTTGGAACTCCAAAAATAAGGGTGGGATAAAAATGCGCCCAAAATTTTGACACCACCACACAAGCTCTCAACTCCTGCCTTCATAGCCATATTATGTGCAATGTTTCCACCTGCACTATCACCACCAATGTAAAGCCTATCAAAATCTCCATACCTGACTAACCATGGCTCTTTCTCACCGCCTGAGTCATTGTTGCTTGAGTGAGAAGCAACCCATCGAAGAGCATCCCAACAATCTTCATAAGCAATAGGAAGTGGGTTCTCCGGGGCGAGTCTGTAGTCAACAGAGATGGCTAGGACTCGGGCTTCTGAGACCAAGCTGTTGAGATAGCGGGTGTCAAGAAATGAGAAGGCGGATTCAATGCAAAACCCACCACCATGGAAGTAGACCAAGATGGGAAGCTTTTGGGATTGGTTTTGAGGGAGGTTTGGGAGGTAAAGGCGAGCGGAGATATTGGGGTTGTCTGAGATGGTGATATCTTTGGAGGAGACACCAGTTTCAGGGTTTTGATTTGGAGATGGGGGCACGTATGGAGAGTCCAAAAGGCGTTCCACCGAGCCATCTTTGTAGAATCTGATGAAGGGAAGGAACTCCGAGGCTATTTCTTTGGTGCTGGAAGACATTGCAGAGACCTAGGTAAAAGATACAGAAAAAATACGGAATTGAAGTGTGAATCATGGAATCCCGAGGCTTTTAAAACGAGGTGCCCTTGATTTAAAAAGTGTGAATCTTTGCCATTTTCAATTAAAATATTGTGGGCACTTTGAGCCCGCAAACTACTTCTAAATTTGTAAATGTTGGAGTAGGTGCACCTAAAACATTTGATTATGTTTAGATGTTGTTGCGTCAGTTTGTTAGAACATATTTTCAAAAGAACCGCCAAAAATAAAGCATCAATATAATATTTGACGACTTTGGTAGTGATTTGAAATTTTGTATAATCTTTTGCTCCACTCCACTCGATATGTTAAACAAAACTGTCATTCTATTATTTATTTTTTTTCATCTCTTTGTGGGTTTAATTATTGAAACAACCAATCAAATAATTAGAACACACAGCAACATCTATTATATATTGCATCACACATAGCAACATTTGTGGTTTTAATTATTAAGATAACCAATCAAATACTTAGAACACACAGCAACATTTGTTATGCTTGGAATAAACGATATTATCTAGACTAAGAGAGAAGGGAGAGTGGACTAAACCTAACACTGGGCTAGCCATAACAATATGGTTCAAATTTACATTTGACGAGAATCGAACCTAAAACCTTTCACTTACAAGTAAAGAGGCATCACGCCTATTAAAACATTATTAAATCAATTTGATAGTAGCTGTCAAATTTGACGTCATAAGAATTCCTCGTCAATTGACTCAACCCCACATAAGAAATTAAAGACAAGGTTGGAGAGAGTTTACTGCCATTTTTTACTATTGTATGTCTATGTGGCAATTTTGACATCTTCTTTAGAGATGTTTTGAGGCAACTAGTTGGCCGTTTTGTATTCAAATTCAAATGATCCTCCTTACATAATAATATGAATTAACAAGAAAGCTAAGACCAAGATGACCTATTTATAATGTTTCTAAACCTAGTAACCTTATGTATCTAAATAAGAAAGGAAATAGAAAAATAACAAAATATGAAAATTGTACTAAAATAAGACAATCCCGTTTTCATAAATTACAGGCTTCATTCGGCCAAATTCTGAATGAGTTTGTTGTGTGACGAGAAGTCTAGTGGATCTCGTCATTCTATTCGAATCCATATATTACAGCTATAAAGTGTTAATAGCACACAACTCACAAGCAATTTTAATAACTTTTAGATGATTTTAGATTCAGCCTATTTCATTTCCTATACGAACAGAGTTTCAATCATTCTAGCTTCGACTGCACTGCTACATCCAACGGCACAGAAACTTTTGAGATTGTTGAAGAGACCATGCGGGCGAAGGTCATAAATATTCCGAGAAATGTCAGAATTGTACTACAAAGGGGGCGTCGTTTTTACAAGTAATTGAATCAGGACGGATTGTAAGCAAACTACAATCAAAGAATTAGAAAAATCTCATGGCTCGACAACAGCAAGAGCATCTAGTACCGTTTTCTGTACATCGGGGTGTTAGAACTCAAGGGTTGAAGGCAGCGACTTATAGCCGCAAGCTATGTGGGTTAGGCTTCGTAAGCGCTTTAGTAAAGTAAGTGCAGATCTCGGGTACTATACGCATGATCAGATGAGAGTGCCTGCAGTGTTGCAGCATCGACACAATTTCAGTAGATGAAAACAAAAAATGAGGATTCGGCCAAAATAAGCAAGGGCGATACTACTTTTCGCTAAGAAAAAACAAGACTAAATCTAGGAACTCAGGTGGACTATACGTAAATAATCTTTTTGAATACGAACGAACGGTTGGAGGGAGCACATACCCTGGTCTGGCACTCAATTTTTCGAACTGCTCCAAAATAAACAGAATGCATGTGTGCCTTAATGACATTGCATGGAAGGCTTCTGAAAGTTCATACATGTTTGAAACGTTCTCCAACGATATGTCCTAAGTCAAAAAAGAGTAGAATTGTAATTAGGTGGCTGCCTTTTTCAACTCAGAGCAAGACATGAGCACAGAGAGAGAGAGAGAGAGAGAGAGAGAGAGTCTGTCAGGTCACCTGTGCTATTGTGTACTCGCAAAGCCGCTTGAGTCCCTCCAAAAGATACTGATCTGCAGCTCTGAGGAGATCTTGAGCAATATCAAGAGTAATGTCGACTGATCCAGTGTATATAAATCTGTGTAAAGTCGGAAGTTTCTGAGTTATCAAAGCTCGCCCGACAGCTTTTGTGAAGGACAAAGAAAACACAATCTTCACTTTACCTCATCATCAACTCGAAAACTTCCCATCTAATATTTGGTATCTCTATGTCCCTCGCATCCTTCTCCTGTAATAGGTTAACTGGAAATTATAAAGATATTGCACACTACCGAACATGAAGACATCATTTTTACTCTGTTACTTGCACTACAGTGTTTAATTGTAGGTACATTGTGATCTAGGATGAAATCACTATATGCAGATACCCACCCGGTAACCACCATCAAACATTGCACGGAACGCATCTGAAGAAGCAAGCAGGCAAATTCTGTGAGCATAGAACCGTCTACCTGCAATTGGTCGGTAAACAATCAAACGTTTAAAGAGGTCATTTATGTTAACAACACAATCACCCATGCTAATTAAATATTCTGTTATGTCAGCTAATATAGCATAAGTAGAAAGTGCTTAAATAAAGATAAAAGATTTAAACCTTCAACTAAGAAAATAACATCAGACAGCGTAGGATTGTTTACATACTGTTCCCCCAGATACACCTGCATTAAGATTTATCCACCATCACACGCAATTCATGCCAAATAAATACTTAATGCTTAAGATGACAGTACTTTTAATTGCAAGAAAGCAACCATTGAATGGGCATTTAGAATTCAATTCTTTCTGGAAAATTCTTTTAGATTGCAATCGGTATGTGAACTTAAAAAGAAAAGATTCCAGTTTGACAACTTACGCTTTGATACGTTTTGTTATATTTTAATCGGTACTTCAAATACATCAGAAATCACTATTTGAATTGTATTCTTTTAAGGACAGAGAATCTTACAGTACTATCATAAAGTATAAGCAAAGTGTTGTATAACATGCCTTAAGAAGGAATCTAATTGCAATTTCCAAAAGTTCAGGAACTGTTTAGAGAAGTGAAATGATAATGAGCAGTGTGGTTATCTTCCCTTTTGTTTTCGAGGTCCAAAATGGCCAACAAAAATGTGAATAAATTGGAAAACAAAAAAAATATATTTTGCTACCACATTGACTTTATATTATGTTCAAAAACTTAAAGAATTCATTCCGCAAGCATGAAAAAACCAGCCGTTATTGAACAACACCCCAACCTGTGGTGTTGGAGATGGGGGAGCTGCATCCACAGGAGAAAGAGTCATGGCTTTGTTAGCCAACTTATATAAAGCCGTAGCACCATCAAGTTGCTGTTTATGGGTACTGGAACCAAGAAGCCCAAGAAGCAACTCCAGACCTGCTTAATAATATCAATATCAGAAAATCCAAAACGAGCAGAAGTATATAAAGAATATAAGTTACTATGCAAAAGCAACCATGAAAAACATGATATAAACAGAGGATGTGACATGCCATTGTTGTCAATGAATATTGTTCTCAGATCATCTGGTGAACAAAGATGAGCAAAAGCCAAAGCAACTCGTCTTTGGACTGCCCTCTCCGCTACACGCATCAAATATAGCAAATGGGACAAAACCTACATTAAGAAAATAAGAAATTACAATCTAATGGATTTAATACTTTAAGCATACCAAATGATAGAAATTACAAAATAAAATAAAAACTAAAAATAGACATGACAATGCTCACTCGTCCATGAATCTTCTCCTCTAATCTTTTCAATGTTTTGGTCACACAATCCTTTGTTGCCTGATAATATGACTCGTCAATTCTTGCAGGTTACAATTATAATATGTAGCAAAGAGAGAAGAAAAATGGAAGAACTGAAAACATCCATTATATATTTAAGGAACTACAAATATAAATAAAATCTTTAGAGAGAGAGAGAGAGAGAGAGAGATACTTGAAAAATAAATTCTCCATCTTGCAGCTTCTGAACACCTCCAATCCTAATATAATCGGAGACATTATCCTAGCAGAGAAAACGAATCAATAAATTACATCAAAGTAAAATGGTGTTAAATGTCTACCTTGACCCAATTTTCATGAAAATTCATTAATTATACCATACCTCGTTATCTGCAAGACCATAAAGAGTAAATGCAGCATTATGTTGTAAAGAACCATTTTTCGAATCAAGAAGCTTCAGCAATGGCACTAAACCACCATTATGAGCAATACCAGCTTGGTTGTTTGTGTCCTGAATTAACAAAAACTTGAATCATTATTCATTATTACCAAAGTGCATATCACATAGCACCAAAAGACAGAAAAAGCATTATTTCAATAATGCATGAAAATTAATTCATCAGATCTCTGTCAGGAAACCTGAGACTAGTAATGATATTAGTGACTAGAAGAAACTCCTCAGGAGTTGAATTCTAGAACTACTGCTCAACTGTAAAAACATATGACCCATAAATTCATCTTCATTTCTAGCGGAACATGAAATAAGTCCATCAATGGTTAAGTAAATTCTCAGCGCAAAATCAAAATCCATCCTTGAAAGGTAGAATACATCCACTGAGATGAAGTCAATATTGACCAAAGAAATGTAATTTACACAAAAGAAACAACATATGTGAAGAAATAATAACCTGTGCAAGTCTCCCCAACGCAAAAGCTGACATCTCCCTTAATTGTACGTCAGGGGACTGAAGCATTTCAATCAGAGGCCGAACAGCACCCCTCTGTACAATGTGAACCTACAAAAAAACCTGACTATTTCAGTGGAAGGGCAAGGGCAATGTCCCCAAAAGCAAGGAATCAATAGGGAAGGAACAAAGCTCTATCTACAAGGATAAAGCAAAGATAGCAAGTAATAGGATCATTATTTGAACAAAGAAAAAGAAGCTTAATGGTGTTTTGATTCCTAACATTTTTGTGGTGCCAAACGCAAAACATGGGTGAGAAATTGACTCAAGTCATGGAAATATATTGAAAGAAAGAAATATATCTAACCCACCTTGCAATCTGAATCAGTTGCAGCAAATTGTCCAATTAATAAAGCTGCCTCTCTTTGGCTCTCAGAGCAGCAGGAACTGTAACCCAACAAAAAAGACTTCAGAAACTTCTTCAATGTACAAAATAATGGACATGACACAAGAAAAGTTTAGCTATATCACGTGACATGACACTACTGGGACACACCTAAGCAATCCAATAACAGGTTGTAAAGCTCCCGCAAGAAGAACTTCTTTCTTTATGTTCGGAGATGAGTGTACCAGATTTCCAATAACACCAACCTGCATCACATTATAAATAATCTGATGATGAGAAACATGAAGTGCGACAACCTAATTCTGACCAATATAAGTCCAATAGTGCATAACATAAATTCAAGTAAAATAAGATCCTACCGCTTCGTAATGTATTGCAGCATCCTCAGACCGAAGCATTAGAATGAGAGTAGGAAGCGCATTGCATTCAACAATCTGCAAAGCCATAAATTGACACCATCAGGTTCCTGTTCAAACCAACCTTTTCCCATAAGCAACTTAAAAAAAAATAAAAAATAAAAAATAAAGATCTATTACCTGATTCTTATTCTCGTCATTTTTAAATGCCAGAGTTCGTAGTGCTCCAGCAGCTGCTCTTTGCACCTTGGTATCAGCAAATTCAAGCAACTCAACTAGAGGTGGAATTCCACCTTCTACTCTGTATAAGCAGTCCTGATGATCATTAGAATAGTGTTGCTACCGTCAAAATTTTCATTTGAAAGAAGGTACTTCAGACATAAGCGAACCTGACACGGGTCTTAATGCTGCTATTCTCATGAGCAAGGTTGGTGATGGCATCAGCAGCTCTACGAATGACGCTATACAGAGCCCGAGATACAGGACTATCCTTGTGCCTCTTTAACAAATCCACAAGATGAGCCAATGCACCAGTGTCAACAATGAGTTGTTGATGCTCAGGCTGTTGACACATAAGACAGCAAGAAAGAAGATGTTCAGCAATTACACGTACTGTCAGTGTGAAGGTGAATTATATCCTATCCAAGACTGTCTCACATAAATCTCCGTGCAACATAAAGAAGGTCAAGAGTAATACTGGATACACCAAGAATCAAAAGCAAGCAGACATATCGGCAACCATGACACGCTGACTTGCTATAACATACCAGCAACTAAGAAACTACCAAACACCCCGACAAAAAATAATCGCAGTAAACCTCCTTACATGTACCACAGACAAAAAATATAACTTTTACCGCAACTCGCACGCTATTTGGAAATCTTAGATTCATAGTTCATAAAGCCGCACTGTCTGTGTGTTTTTCGGGAGAGAATATTATTTCGGATTTTCGAATTGTAATTTCCCCAACACTAATTGTACTTATATACAAAAGTTTGAATTTTTGCAACTTCAGTTAGTATCCAAACCAACTAACATAAATTTCAATTCTTGAACCTCTGTGAGTAAATTACACGCTCAATTGTACAATCACTGAAAATATTAAAACGAATAATCTATTCATGCAGAAAAGGAAAGTTCCAAGTCCACAGAAAATTTGACCACAGTGGACTGAAAATTTGAAAAACAGTAAGAGTAAAGTGACCTTAACTGCGAGAAGGCCCAGGGCAAAGGCACTTCCCTTCTCGACCTCGTGTTCGAAAGGCTTCGAACTCCGGTCGCCGTCGCTTAACGGCGGCGCTTGAAGATGCTTTACCAGAGACGGAACCGCGCCGCCTTCGACGATCACGTTCACTACCTCCTCTGCTCCAACACAAACACACAAAATCGTCAATTCCGAACAATTCAAGAACCTCGAAAACTCCATAACCGATGAGAAATGAGGAAAGAAAATGAAATTGAGGCGAGATCGGAGGGTTATTTGGGGATTTTGTTTTAACCAACCGTTCTTGGCGATCTCGGCGAGGACGTGCGTGGCGCGCTTGGCCGAAGCTCGATCGGCTTCGCTCCAAGAGAAGGTGGAGTTGAGGACCTTCACCTGCTCGCTGACCTCGCTCAGCAGCGCCTTTCTTGCTTCGCAGGACTTCACCGAGATCTCCCGCTCGCCACCGGTTTCCTCCTCCAGCTTCCGCTTCTGCCCCTTCCGCTCCGGACGATCCTGGTCCCCCTGCAATTCCATCAACAGCGACGGAAGCGAAGAAAAAGAAGAAGAAGAAGAAGCTGATCCGAATTGGAAGAACAAACTTTGGATTTGAACAGGTAAGAGACAGAGAAACAGACAAGTGAGAGAGGAAGATCCAAGGGTATTTTCGGAATTTCAGGATTAACAAAAAAGAAGTAAAAGCTTTTTCCTTTTCTTTTCTTTTCCGGTGGGCTGTGTCGGGTCAAAAGTCAAAACCGGCCACATGATTTCCGGTACATCTACATATCCATTTATTTAATATTTTTTAGTAAATATAAAATATTTAACGTGCGCTCCCGCTCGGAGAGAGTACAAAGTGAGGACGGCGATATAAGCTAACGTGCGCGTGGTGCATTATGGATGGGCCCGCCAGAATCCAGGGGACCCGCCAACTGCCATGCTAGAGCCGTCGTGCTTGCAGGTAGTTGATGAAGTGGGACTGATTTTCGTTCGAGTTGTTGGGTCGGGTCGACCCGGATGTGAATAAACGAGGACGGGAAATTAGCAAAGTGACGTCTTGGGAAAAAACACAAGGTCTCATGAATTTGCCACCCACCCGAGTCCCCGACTAACCAAAACGACGGGAACGTTTTCAGAACACAATTGTCGTTCGAGTCTTTAATGCAAGGTCATTGACTCAATTATGATAACGAGTTTAAATTCGTTGTTACTGTGACAATTCGATTCACTTATATAAATTTATATTGCAAAATCACAATGGTAGTAAAGATGTTCCTACTCTAATACACTCATTTCACATAATAACGGTGATAGGGAACTCGTTCTCTGAGGAATAAGTGTTTTTTGACACACAAGATGTTGATTATGATGGTTTTAGTTTGGGATGCGATATCCACACACCTTATTTTACTTCTCACGTACCTTTTTAATTTTCAACCGTCGGATTGGATAAATTGAAGATCAACGGATAGAAATTATCAAGAGGTGTGTGGATAGCACACCTCTTTAGTTTTCATGTCACATATCACTCGTGTTCTAATCCCAATAAAAAATTTATCTTGCTGGTGAGTCAAAATTTGAGGTCCACCCAATTTTCATTATCCGAGGGAAAACAATAGTTGCAGAATGCAGCCGCAGAGAATTAGAGAATCCGATGATGATTACATGGACCAACACAATCAAGTTTCGGGCAAATTTTTAGAAGTGTCACACTTTGCTTTGGGCTTACTCTACCACTAGGCCCATTTTGTCGTCCCAATACTGTTTTTTCAGCTTTAAAAAGGTCGGTGCTTTCCTTTCTTTTTCTTTCTGTTTATGGAATGAAACTGTTCAAAGGCAAATTAAAAATGAGTGTGCAAAAATTATTGTTGTATTAAACTAATCATGCGTACGAACAGAATGATAGAAGTTTCTGGCTTAATTGGTTAAGATAACATTTTCTTTAAATTGTATCCGCAATTTTTGAGATAAAACATCACATCTGGAGGTCCATGAGATTGGGGCTCAACCATGTATTCGATTTAGGGGTTAAGTTGTGAACAATCTTTAATATATATATTAGAAAAGCCATCAATCAACTTTGGTGTCTTAAGGTTTCATCAAAAATTTCTGGACTAAAATATCCCTCAAACAAAAAAAAACTAAAACTGACATAATATAATACATTAAAAAACTCATGGGCATTTTTGTCAGAATACATAAATATAAAATTTGTTTTATTAGCAGAAAAAGAAACAGATAACTCCTCCATTTTAGGAGAGAGAACAATCAACGTGGGGAGAAAAAAATTTCAGGATTAGCACGTTTAGTTTTCAAACTGCATAGCAATTTCCATACAGTTTTCAAACTCACACAACCTTTTATCATAACTTCTCTATTGCATTTGTTCACGATATCACTCCATCACCGTTTTATCATAACTTCTTTTCGCCTCTAATATTGATAGCCCTCCGTGAAATTTCCAGCATTATTATATTTCCATTGGTGTCCTATCGATTTGGCTTGGCTTTACTCCAATAGAACTCTATGTGCAACATCGCAAAGTATCTTTAATTTTGTTTCCTTTCTCCACGAATCAAAGGCTTTCAGCGTTTCATCCATGATGCAATTGAAAGGTACGGAATCATGCAAATTCCCAATATTTATGAAGTTTTAGCTTCAATTTCTCTCAAAAAATTATTTCGTTTTGTTATTGTTTTTTAGCAGGTCGTGAGAGTTGGTTGCATAGGAAGAAGGATCAATGAAATTGCAAACGTTGTGTTCCAATTAATCCAACCACTTCTCTTCAGTTTTGCTTTTTTCATTCTGTTGGCTCTCCTTTTAGTGTTTGATCGGGTTCTTTTCAGTTCCAAGTACAGAAATAAAGAAGAAAAAAATACAAAAACCAGATTGACTTCTGAAGCATAATACCTTTTTGTCCTCTAATGTGATTGTTTTTTCAGGAAGAGATTGAAAAGATTAAGAGGTGCCCTGAGCAAGATTCCTGTGACTGTCGAAGCCAGTTTCATCTGCATAAGCTACCGTGGTCAAATAGATTTTTCATTGGGTTAGTAATTCATGTTCTCAATTTTCGTTCTCTCTCAGTTTTGATCACATTTGCACTCAATTAATTTTTTAAATAATTTTATGGACTTCTTGCAGAAAATTAACTTTCTCTGTAATTTTTTTAACACCATGTCTGAATTGTCAATGTTTCAAATGTCAGTGTTGCCTCATTTCATTTTATGTGTGTTGCCTCATTTCATTTTCCATCGTTGAATTTCAATGCTATTTTTTAAGATTTTCAGAGGACTTCAGCATATCAAGTATGGAGGGAATTGATTGAAGCGATATGTCAAAGGTTGTTACCTTATCTGCATTATTCCTCTTATGTACATATGATTTATTTTTTCTTCTTTTTCAAAAATAAAATAAAATAAAATTCATTCAGTTTAGCAATTTCTCAATGTAGGTCAGCAATGAAGAAGTTCACTTCATTACAACAACAACATCCCAATTATCAAACTCGATTGAACTCGGTCAATATAGTGCAAAATCAAACGGAAGTAAACCAAGAAAACATAGGACCAACATCTACGGGTAATTATGATTTCTTATTTTTTTTGTCTCTATTAAATCCGTACGTTGTATGAATATTTTTGTACGAATTATTAAGACAAATATAGTAAGATTGAACGAATAAGTGATTTTAAATTGTCATTGCCTTTTTGTAATTTGTACTATCAATGCAAACATCCATTTAATCATTCTGTTATGTCTATAACAATTTCAATATTTGGATTGTATATATTTACCATAGTGACCAACGTTTTAACAAGTACTCCAAACAAAAGAAAAAAAAAATGAAAAAAAAAGGAAAGGAATATGTCTGGAACGATAGGAGATAAAAAATTTATGTAAACTTGGAATAACAGTTCAACTATAATAGTCAAGAGAAAAATATAAAAAGAACATCACATAAAGATATAGTACATCAATACTAAAGGGCAAAAATTGTGAAGGAAAAAAAAACATGCAGCACATAATTACACAGATGCAAAATCAATGGAAGTAAAAAGCACAACCCAAATCAGAGAAATGAAATCATAAATCTCATCCACGGATCTAACTCAATCAGTTCCAATTGAGCTCCAAAAAATTGAATTTTTAACGAAGACCTCGAATTTCACAATTACAAGCCGGAAATTTTTTTGGCCTCTCCTTCTAGCCCAAATCTTAAAAATTGCGAAAAGCCCCTTTTCTCAAAAACAGAACTTCTCAATCAAATGAAAAGAAAAAGAAAAAAAACGTAATGGATACCATTGATTCAATTGCCAAAAAAAAGGAAAAAAATAATTTTGTATGTAGGTACTTATATAATATTCTATACTTACTAATATTTTTCGTGCACCATTACGTTTCTTGGTTTAGAGCAACAAAATGTATATGTTACTAATGAGAGACAAAGCCAATGAGAGCAATGGCGGGATCAACAACGTATGAGGCAAAATTCAATGAGTTCAAGACAAAGACACGATTATTTAGCACGGCAACGATCCAATTATCGTGTTCAACAAATCCATCGCTCAAACATAATGTTATTTGGTGGCAATACTGATCAAGTTCAACACCCTAACATAGTGCAATTAGATGAAGGCAGTAGCAATCATGTTGAACGATATGAGTTCATGATATGTTTTGCCGTCAAGTGTATCAAGGTCAATTGAAGTTCTTGGATTGTTTTTATTTATACTTTTTATTTAGCTTTTTGCAACTAAATTATAAGGATCTTCTTTGTTATTTATTACTTTTTTTTTAGATATTCTAGACAAAATACTTTAAATTCATGCCTATATTATTAGAGATGATAATTGCCTTTATTTTATATTTCTATACATTGAACCAATCCTCGCATATAAATACATCTAAAATGTGTAAGTCGTGCGTAGTGCGCCGTGATTAAAAAATTGTCTTTTCGCACGCGCGTGAGAACACCATAATAGGCACTGCTGGGTGTGAGAGAGTATCCACGTCAACAACTTCAAATCTATTGCTTCCAATTATGTGCAGCCATCTTCTAGATTTCATCCCTCACCTCCAAACTTGGTATCATACTTTCTAAAGCATATACATTGACAAGGACAATGGAAAAAAACTAACACAAAACACATTTAGGGGCACGTAACGCCCGTGATGTAAAAATGCCTCTCGCAAGCACGTTAGTGCGTGCAGAGAGGCTAGTATTAATATAACTCAAGCAACTAGTGATGAGCTAAGATTACATGGTTCCAAAATGTGATATTGGAGAGCCAATATCAACTTGGGACACATGAAACATCATCATCAAGCACATATAATCGACTGGCTAATAGATGAAGGACAGAGGATAGATAAAATACAGTTGTCCTAACTCAGAGAATTGCTTGTTCATAACAGGATGTATTAAGTGCATCAAGACCGTTTTGAGATAACATGTCAACTACGTCACATGTAAAGTTACAAAAGTTTTGAGGGCCAAGCATTTGTCGGATCTAAGTGATTACAAAAATTTATACAACTTTGTATTTGTGTAATGTTAAATGATTGTACACAAATCAGTTATTTATGTCCCTTGAACTTTCATAAACCTAATTTAGTTGCTAATCTATAAATAAAGCCAATGAAAAAGGTGAATAGTAATTTTGGTGTCACCAAGCTTCAACAAAAATAATTGGACAAAAATGCCCCCAAGACAAAAAAAAAACTTCAAAGGCATTCCAAAATAATGCATCAAATAAGGCAGGGGCATTTTCGTCATTTTAATAATTAATTTTTTTTTTTTTTTGTGGTTTGTTTGTTTGTTTGTTTTTTTTTTTTTTGTTAATTAGTACCTCACAATAAGCTAGTAATAATGTGATTCAATTTCTCTATTTTTAAACATGTTCAAAATATCTTAAGAGACGTGTAATGCCGGTTATTAAAAAGTCATTCGCACACGGATAATAATGTGATTAAATTAGTTGTCAAATGATTTTTTTTTTTTTTTAACAAACGATATTATCTACGCTAAGGGAAAAGGGGTGGGCTTAGCCTCACAATGGGTTAACAATAATGTGATTCAATCAATTGTTTATTAAATATTATTTTCTCTATTTTAAACACGTTCAAAACATCTTAAGAGACATGTAATGCCGGTTATAAAAAAAAGTCTTTCGCATGCGAATAATAATGTGATCAAATTCGTTGTCAAATGATTTTTTTGTTTTTGTTTTTAACAAACGATATTATCTACACTAAGGGAGAGGGGTGGGTTTAGCCTCACAATGGGCTAGCAATAATTTGATTCAATCAGTTGTTTATTAAATATTATTTTCTCTATTTTTAAACACGTTCAAAACATCTTAAGAGGTGTGTAATGCCGATTATAAAAAAATGTCTTTCACTCGCGGATAATAATGTGATTAAATTACATTAAATTAGTTGTCAAATGATTTTTTTTTTTTAACAAATAATATTATATACATTAGGAGGGAGGGGGTGGGCTTAGCCTTACAATAGCCTAACAATAATGTGATTCAATCAGTTGTTTATTAAATATTATTTTCTCTATTTTTAAACGCGTTCAAAACATCTTAAGAGGCGTGTAATGCCGGTTATAAAAAAGGTCTTTCGCACGTAGATAATAATGTGATTAAATTAGTTGTCAAATGATTGTTTTTTTAACAAACGATATTATATACACTAAAGGGGAGGGGCGGTGGGCTTAGCCTCACAATGGGCTAGCAATAACATGATTCAATCAATTGTTTATTAAATATTATTTTCTCTATTCTTAATGTAAATTTTATAGATACCGATTTTATTATATGAATTTAGCTGCTTTAATTGGTTTATCAGGGGTTTCTTCTAGCATGATATAAGATTATTCATTTACTTCAAATATTTGACTTTCCTTTTGTCAATTTACAAATATAAATACATTTAAAACGTGTAAGTCTTGTGTAGCATGCTGGTATTCCAAAAATATCTTTTGTACGTATGTGAACGCGTGTTTGAAGGCTAGTTTACCTTAAGCCGATTTAATTTCATTAATCTTCAATTTGTGTTTGGCTCTGCAGTTTACTGTTGGGCTTTAGTTTGAGTTGGTCTGATTTGCTTCACTTGTTTACGGTTCTATTCGTTAATTCCCTCTGGTGGGTCGGGCCTTCATTTCGTTTATAAGTGGTACCCCACACACCAACCTACCCCACCAAATTATGATTAAAATTAGTTACTTTAGCAGTCAAACTACCAACTCTGACCCACCCAGCCCTCGTTTTCCCGCGCTTACCCAACCGAAATACCTTTCCCCTCCCCTAACTCCACCTTCTCCACTGTCGACTCCACCTCAACTCTCTCTCTCTCTTTCTCCTCCTACTCCTTCCTTGCTTAGCTCACTCACCCAACCAAAACCGTTCCATTCTCTCTCTCCTCACCCTCTCATGCCTCTCCCTCCACCATGTCTTTCTCCCTCCTCCCCCTCCTCCTCCTCCTGCTCTCCCTCCTCCCCCTCTCCCTCTCCCTCTCCCTCCCCAGAGGTAAGCCCCTTAGCAATAAACATTGCATTCCTCAAAATTTAATTTGGAAATGTCAAGTCCTGTATAGTAATTATATAATATAATATTTATTTTCTATTTGCCAATTGATTTTGGGGTTCGATGCTCGCGTTCTAATTTTAAATTTTTTTAATTTTCGAACAGGTACTCTAATCAACTGCGGCGCCGCCGTCAAATCCGAAATCGACGGCCGCGAATGGCTGCCGGATACCGGCTTTGTATCGGGTGGGACCTCGCGGAACTTAACGACCCCGGGCCTCGTCCCCATCCTCTCCACCGCGCGATCGTTCCCGAACTATCCCCACCGCAAGTTCTGCTACACCGTCCACGTCTACCGCAATGCAAAGTACATGGTCCGGACCACCTACTACTACTACGGCAGCGACTCGCCGCCGGTGTTCGACCAGATTGTGGACGGCACTTTCTGGGCCGTCGTTAACACCACCGAGGACTACGCTAACGGCATGTCGTCATACTACGAGGGGGTCTTTCTCGCCCAGGGCAAGACCATGAGCGTGTGCCTCGGGTCGAACAATTACACCGAATCCGACCCGTTTATATCCGCCCTGGAGTTTGTGATACTCGAAGACTCGCTTTACAACTCCACCGACTTTAAGTCGCACGGCCTCAGCTTGGTCGCCCGAAACGGATTTGGGTACACCGGACCCATCATTCGGTACGCGCCCTTCTCTTTGTTTTAACTTGTAGAATCCGTAAATTCAGTGACTTTGAAGTCAAAATTTGAGTTAGTTTAGAATCCAAAATTGGGTTATCATCAGATACCAGATTAGGAATTCGATCGGTTTTGGGAGCCATTTGGAGGGCACAATCCGATGAATGTTTTTTTTACCACCCCATTGATTGCGAGTTTAAATTTTGCATTTTGTGTAGTTTATAGATAAATTTGCATTCTTCCAACGACAATCAATGCGATGGTGAGCAAAAATGCTTCCTTATCTTTTGTTTAAGTTCAAAATTTTGTGTATTAAGTGACTTTGAAGTCAAATTTGTAAAGATTTTAGAATCTGAAATTGGGATATTTTCAGATACCCTGATGACCAATTTGATCGTTTTTGGGTGCCATTTGAAGAGCTCAATCCGCTGATTCCGATCAATGTGAGTAACTCAAATGCGTCAGTTTCTGGCATGTGGAATCTGCCCCCTTCGAAAGTTTTTGAAAGCGAATTGACGACAGGGCAAGCTGAGGCCATGGAATTGGATTGGCCTCCTGGGTCGGTTTCTGAATCGAAATACTACATAGCTCTGTACTTTGCATCAGGGGACTCCTCGGGGTCAAGGGTGATCAACATTAGCATCAATGGTGTACAGTATTACAAGGATTTGGATGTGAAGCCAGGAGGGCTTGTTGTATATGCGACGCAGTGGCCACTTTCTGGTTCTACTAGGATTACTATGACCCCTTCTGGGAGGTCAATCGGTGGTGCTCTGATTAATGCTGGCGAGGTGTTTGATGTTCTGCCCCTTGGAGGAACAACTCTTACTCGAGATGGTATGCTTATCTTTTGATGTTATTGGGATTATATTTTAGTTTTGAACTAACCCATATTAGAACTTTGTACCTACGCCTGCTCAAATTGCAAAGTTTAGATGCCATTTGTGCATAGGCTTGATGTAAGACTCCATGGCATTCATTTTAGTGATATCAATTCTGAAATCATGGCCATTTTCTTATCACAGTTATTGCTTTGCAAGGAGTAAAACAAAGTCTTCAGAACCCTCCACCTGGCTGGAGTGGTGATCCTTGTTTGCCCCGTCAGTACTCATGGACGGGCATTACATGCTCTTCAGGCCCTCGGATTCGTGTGGTCTCTCTGTGAGTTGAAACTTGTCGTAATCATTTTTCATTGCTTGATTTGGGTATTGCTTATAGTCTACTTCCCTTTCTTTTTTTCATCTCAACATGGCCAAAACTTACATCTATTTCCTCATGCGTACAGAAATTTGACTAGTATGGGCCTTTCAGGATCGCTATCACCTAGAATTGCCAATATGACCGCATTGTCTAATATGTAGGTTTCTGAAAATTTAACTGTATTTAGTTTGTTCACAAGTGTTTGTTGAATGCTTGATTGAAGATTTCGCACTTCTGGCAGCTTGCTTGGGAAGAATAAATTTACAGGGCCTATTCCCGATCTAAGTTCATTGAAGTTACTGGAGAAATTGTAAGTTGTAACAATTTACTTTCCACCTTTTGCCCCTGCTTCTTCATCATTTTATTCTTAAACTTGCAATGAAACACATTATGGATATGGAAGCATTGGCCACTGTAAATGGTATTCTGGAAGTCAATGGCTGAAACTATACTGCTTGTGGACCTGCGATTAAGTGATAAATAATCTATTTTAGCGGTTTTGTGCTACTTTCACGTTGCATTGATTGTCTCATCTGAATATTCCGAGTCTCCTTGTTGCGTGAAATGGCTTTCTCTTATCCAATTTTTCTTTTTCCCTCATTTAAGGCACTTGGAAGACAATCATTTCAGTGGAAATATCCCCTCATCGCTCGGGAGCATTGATAGCTTGCATGAACTGTAAGTGATGTCAAACAGTCAAAGTCTGTTTTTTGTTCTTTCTTGGTATCAGTTTGAGATTTTTACTCGCAGTTTCTAAAATGTCTATTTGTATAGAAAAACGGATGAGAAGAATTTGGTTTTATTATTAGTTTAAGCTCAAACAATTTTATATTCTATACTGTTCAATTACGGAAATGTTAGCATTTTAATTTATTTGTCGAAAAAGTTAATTGTGACTGATTTGTGAACTCTATGGATTAGAGTTCAACTTATGGTATAACCCCATTACAGACCTCTCATTGGAAACACCTACTTTTTAAAGCATTTGAATCTGAATGGCTGCTACAAAAATTTGCATGTTCGGCATGCTGTATGTTACAGACGAATACTTTAGGGCGTCCACATGTTCTGTCTGTCTTGTTGGTCAGAAGCAAATACCATTAGAAGTGTATCATGGTCTAAACCTTGTGATTCGACAAAGGATTCTCACCAATTTCGGAAATATATGCACGCACAGCACATTTATCTCAGTATATAGGACTAAAATGTTATGAACTTATGCAGGCATATTGTTATGGTTTCAGATGTAGATATTTATCCAAACGATACCTTGTTCAATCCTCATGGAAGATATTCTAGATCTTTTTTTTCTCTTGTTGTTGGATTATTCAGATTTTATGCCGATTTTTACGCTCACAATGCTGTTAGATAACAGCACAGCTCGGCAAACTATCTTCTTTTTTTTCCCTTTCTTTCATCTTGCACATGCGTTGATTCTGCCATGATACTTGACGTTTCTGAGTCCTAACTCGCTTCCACGTCTCTTTCAGTTTCTTACAAAACAATTGTTTGACTGGTGAAGTTCCTGATAGCCTTGTTGGAAAATCTGGTCTGGACCTAAGGTAGTTGAAATTTCACTAGTCTTACCACTCAAACCTTACATTGCACCTTAAGCTGATTGTTTTTCCTTGCGTTTCAGGACGTCTGGAAATTCTTTTTCAGCGCCGCCGCCTACTTGAACAGCTAGTATTATGCATTCAAAGGTAAATATTTTTTCCAAGAAACTTGATCCAAACTCTCAACATAAAGAGCTCTCCAAAATTTGGACTGCAAATTTTCCCATTGCCAGCTCTTTGGATCTGCAGTCGAAAGCTCTCGTGCCTATGTTTCTTTAGCTTTGGTGGAGTTTGAGATCTTCAGTGAAATTTTACTCTACATTTTTGTACCCGATTGTTCATATATGGTCACGTTGATTTGTCGTGTTCTTTGTGTAATTAGTCGATGTTGTTAAGTCGTCCATATTAATTTTTCTTATTCGTTAATACACATTTTTCCTTTCAAATCTACACATTGTATTGTTTGTAAATGTTATTTGTTGTGAAGTGATTGGTGTTGATCTTTTTTTACTTGGGTCTATGGTTGACATTCTACTTCAATTTCTTCTTATGGTTGTAGTCAAATGTCCCTATTACATTTACAAATATGCGTTAGGCCAACTGGCAATGTGCCCATCTCGTTACACATAAATTTAAATCTCTCTCCCCATAAATTAGAATCGGAATTCGAATCTCTATTACATTCAAACAATGCTCAAAAGAATCCTATCTATGTGGTCCTATTCCCCTTCTTCATATGCTAAAAATAATTCAAAAATCAGATTCCAAATGCTGCAATGGCTCACATGTTGGACCGACTGAGTTACAGATGTGCAATGTCTTCTCACTTTCCTACCCACTTATTTGGGAGAGCCAGTTGGCAGATAATGTACGTACTTTTTGGACAATACATCAAGGCAAATAAATAAATAAATCAAACAAATTTTGGTTAATATTGTGGCAAAATACTAGAAAAGTTAGCATTTACATTATGATTCTTCAAATCCAACATAATCAACACCCTAAACATGAGACAGAAATTTCAAATGAAATAAAAAAAATATTGAGAAAATTGAGAAAACAATGAACTTCTTGGACGAGGATTTCTAGTAAGCACCGGGATCCTTAGTTGTTGGATTCTTAGCCGCACATCTTATCTGGTGCATGTCATACAGTACCGGAGCACGGTCAAATTCTCGCATTGGACAATTAATCCTGCAGATCGGACCAACATCTCTACCTCTCTAGCACTCTTCCTTTTCTGAGAGGAAACAAAGGTGGGAAGGCACTGCTCTTCACCTGTGTGCAAATTGGCACATTTACCATTGGCCTTATTCTTATGCTTGCTGATCTTGTTCTTTCCAACCCTTTCTTTATCCTCTTCATATACTTCTCTTTGTTCCCTTCCTTCTCTTGATCCGTCCTCGTAGCTACATCCGCCGACGAGTTCGAGGAAGAAGAGGAAGACGAGGATGAGGAAGACGGGGACAATGATGAAGCGCGTTGCTTCTTCAGTCTTAGTAGCTCCTTCCACAAAACTGTGCACTTAGGTGGCCTCGGAGATGGATCATCGTCCACAAACCAACTCCCTCGGCTCTCCTCCTTGTTCACCACCTCTTCATTCTCATCTCCCTCGACATCCTTGGTCTTGAGGTTGAGCTTCGCGAGCTGTTCGGCGTGCTGCTTTTGCCAAAAGGGTAGGAGCTTCCCATCGAAAAATAGCTCATCTGCAGACAACATGGCATGGCTGCTCGCATTGCTCGAGAGAAACTCAAAATCTGGGTTACGTACCTTTTGGTGATCACCACACTCCATTTTTTTATCTTGTACTTCGCCGTGCGAATTCGGGGTGATGGAGATGAAGTTCTCATCGTCGAGAAACTCGACCGAGAATGAAATCCGCGGACTCAAAATCGAGTCGGCAGATATAGGGGTTGCCGGAACAATTTCTAGGGACCCCATTTTTGTGGTAGTGAAAGAGTGTTTTTGAGCAAATGCATGAGGGTATGTGATATATAAAGGGAAGGAAGAGATGCCTTATTAATGTTAATGTTTGAGTAAATTGTTAATCTGTGTGATTTGCGATTGCTAATTGGGTTAGTAATCATGGTTTGGACGGTGAGATTATAAAAGTTAGGTGGTCTGGCGGAGGCGAAACATGAGGGCTCAGGTGCTGTTTAGAATATAGAAGCAGGCACATGGACAACTTAACCTTTTTGGGAGCTTAATAAAGACAACAAAGTTTAACCGTAGTTTATTATGCAATTCTAACTAGTGTTTTCTTTTTTCTTCTTCTAAAACCCAAATATGAATAGAAAAAGTAAAAAGTAACTTCCTGATAAGGGTTTAACCTACGCTATTATAAAGAAAAGAAATGATTTTTGCACTTTCGTTTTCTACGTTTGCACTTTTTCTTTTGTTTTGAACTATGAATTCTCTTGTGGTTTGTTTAATTCGACGGCTGGAGAAAAAGAGAGGAATGTTGGAAATTATTTACCCATAAAGTATACAAAAAAGTGAGGAAGTTTTCTTTTCTTAGACAGTCTAACATATTACATTGTGACATTGATGAGTTGGGCAATTCATTATGCTAAACGTATAATTTATTCATAATCTCACAATATAACATATCAGATTTCGGGATTGTAATTCTAAATTATGTTCATGCTTTGTCTTGTAATATTTTCTAGCTTGTAGACTAGGGTAAATCCTGAACTTTGCAAGATACATGTGATTATCTTTGAGTTTGAGAGGGGGATCTTTTGCTTTTCAAATTAAAAACGAAATATTTGGTTTAGGAAACTTTAAATTAGGATTATCTCATAGATTAGTGGCAATTAATCTAATGAGTTTGGATTAGTCAAGGAGAGATTTGACTCCCCTGCTTACAGGGAGGTATTAACATGTTAGCTAGGGGTCCCAAGCATGTGGTCACATGAGAGTTATTTCCTTCCATGTGAAATTCTGAATCGTAGATACATTTTATGACCAAAATACCCTTCGATTGGTTTTGGCCCTTCCTGGTATTTCATGTGAATTGCCCATCTTGGTTTGGTTTTCCAGTAATTTTGAAAGGTTTATGAAGTGGTAGATATCATGCCCAATGGCTTAATAAGCTTCCTTTAAGATTTGGGTAGTTATGGTTAATCAAGACAGCTAATGAAAACATTTGGGGGTTAAATCTTATTTGAGAAATGTTTGGGAGATTCTTTCATAAGCGGAACTCTTTATAAACTCTCTACTACTTCATGTTTTTGGTACAATGATTTATAATATTGATCCTGAAATTGACGTTAAATTATAAATTGATAAAAAATCTATAGAGAGTCTCAATTTGAGAAAATCTAGTAACATTTCTCATCTTATTATTATTAAGGGTAATTAAATATTGCAGATGTTGAGTGGTCCTCCCTCTGTCCTCTCTTTGTATAATATATTGTTTGGTGTGTCTTTGTTGTATGACTTTTGAGGGGGCAATAATGTGTCAAAAGTGCTTACTTAATCTAATAAACAATATTAACCATCATGTGATGCCCAAATTATTTTTGGTTTTAGGCTTTTAGCAGTCATCAATTAATGCTAGCATTTTCATTACAAGCCACACATGGTGAAAGTGAAAACAAAGAGAATTAAGTGTGTGGATTAAAATTAAGATTAAACAAGTATGATTATGTGTAGAAAATGTAAGACAAATAGCACAATTTTTTGGAAGAATTCGTCGAATAAGCTTATTTAAATTATCCCTCAATTAAAGCTCCCTCATATTTTCATAATAGGTTGATTACCAAAGCACGTATAAGTTTGACCTTACTCAAGATTTAGCCTAACTTTAGGAATTAGCCTAAGTTTGACCTTACTCAAGATTTTTTCAAAAAACACTTCAAATTCTAATAAAAATTTCAACATATTTCTACTAAAACCTCTTTTAGTAAAAGTGTTTATGATTAGAAATGCTTCCTACATAAGTAGCTCTGAATATGCTCAAAATCATAAATAGCTTATGGTGTTAGGCATGTGATATCATGTCTTAAAGTTTTTAGTTTATTTATTTTATAGTTTTGGGAAAAACGATTTTAAGGACGTTTTGGCCATTTTAAATTTTACTTTAGTGTTTGGAGGTGGTTTAGAATTGACGGTAGAGATCAATTCCATGAGCAATTAGGCACAAACCGTTCGTGAATAGTAAGTTTCGAACAAATAAGTAATGAGCATTGAAAGTGAGGGGCATTTTGGCCTTTTTACACTTACTATAATAGTAAGTTTCCTGTTTTAGAAATTATGAACTTGCCAAATTTGAAAAGTTTCGAAATCAAGAAAGTTAACCCGAAAACCCATATCCTAGCCCGACATGACCTAACGACCCATTTCCCTTCGAATATTATGACGCAAATTCCTGCTATTTCTGACAAATTAGTCGTCCCTCTACAAAACTCACCCAAAAATCATTTTGATAGACTACCACACGTGGTGGTGCGAGGCCATAAAATTTAACGGGATCTAGCAATCCCTATTCATTTTTCAGCGAATTGGCTAAACGGCGATTGACGCCACCACCTAGGTTTTGTAGCCAATCAGCCCAGCAGTAAAACTCAACCAGTCCCAACCTTGTTGGAGCATCGCAGAAGGCAAATAGATGCCATGAAGATTACGACACCTGAGGTCTTTATCGGCAAAATTTGATGTCTTCCACCTACTTTTGGACTTCGTCGTAGGTATACAAGTTTTTCCTGGTGTTGAGCTCTACATGCTTGTAAAATTTGGTGAAATTTGAAGTTAGTCCCACTGCTTACGGCATCGTGTGAGAAACTCAAGTGACATGGGATTTTATTTTATTTTTATTTTTTTGGGGAAACAAGTGACATGGATTTTGGCCAAAACAATATGCTTGATGTCTTGAGCCCGTATTCAAGGTTTTGTTGAGATTCAATGTGATGGTTCAATTATTCAATTTTTGGGATAATTGTACGGCTGCTCGGTTTTCGTAGTAACAACGATCTGACCGTTGGATCGTCGTTCAATTTTATCAGTATGCTATTTATTAATTATCAAACCTTTGAAAACTTGTGGAATAAAAATTTACCTTTCAAATCTTCCGGATTTGAGAATCTAGGATTGTTGACCCCAATGGGGCCTACTTTGACTGATAATTGACTTTTTAGTCAACAAACCTCAAATTATTCTGGTGTCTGACGTGTGTGTTTTATTGGGCATTGATCGGTCTAAGTGCTTAGATCTTTGTGCTAGCTAGTTGGTAGTAGTCTAGACTTCGGGTGAATTACTTTAATATTATGTAAAAATAAGTATTTTGTCTATGGAAATCCTCATCTTGATATACTTTGTGGATATGACATGGAATTATAAACGTGTATTACTTGGTCATCGATTTGTTTTGTGAAATGATATATATATATATATATGAAATGATTGCGAATTGAGAGGCTAACAAAGAACTGTTATTGTTGTATACTTTCTTTCTGGTTCCGTGAGTATGTATGGAACTAGATTTCTATCTTTATTTCTAGTTACATGAG